ACCCACATCGATACGATCCCTCACTACGAAGTTTAGCCGCCTCAAGGGAGCCCCCTCAATACGACTCCCTCTTCCCCATCCTCGACCACCATCCTCTCCGTCATGGCTGTTTCTATTGTATTTGATTTGATACCAGCTGACAAATTCCAAGTCCACTCACATTCCAATCCAAAAACTTCAAAAGGTCACCGAGCGGGGAGGTGGAAGAAGGCAAATATTTCTAATGAAGCAACAAATCCTGCGAACCCTGAAGCAATGTGTATACCAAAAGCATCTGAGAACCCGTCAACAATGACCCACTCTCCCGCCACCGCAACATATTCAACTGCCAAAAATACGACCCCCTTTCCCAACCTTTTGACCATCACCATCCTCGAATACGATCCCCTCATTAAGAATTGCGCAACGCACAGTTGACTCTGGTTGTAGGTTCCAAGCCGAGATGGATTGAAGTTACGTAAACGATAGTTGTCGTGGAACTAACATCGCGCTGGTCTTCTTCTCGGGAAACACTTAGAATTCGATTTCTTGAAGTATCGTCCTTTTCAAGGTTATATTGCACCATATCAGTTGTTTGGCCTTACTGTCCTTACATTTGTTGTAAACACAAGAATCTGATAAAGAGGGGAGAGCACATCCGTGCAGAAATTTTTCCTACTCCTACCTGTTGTTCTTTCCTCACCCCTTCCAGCCAAACGATTCCATTGAGCGTTGATACCTGCCTCATCTTCTTGCTACTAATCGCATAAACACCAAAGCAACGTTCGAACATTATTTTCAATACCATTCTTCTCGAAAGCTCCTTTTCTCCTGCTCGGATTTTTACAGATGAACCTTCCAAATTTTTTAGCAGTTTCAGGTGGATTGGCAATGCTCAGGGAAATAGTGCTTATTTACATCCTTCATATTCCACTGGTTGATGCATTTGATTGGGGAGACTTCCATAAGGTGAGATTGAGATGATTGACTTTTGTAAGCGAACAAAGCCGCCGATAAAACCTTTATTTGGTAGCTAACTAGGCTTTTTACGATGGCGTGTTTATTTTTAATCTACAAATGGATTTTAGACTCTCTCCCTAAGATCCGGTACTGGAATTCTAATGATTTTCCTTGAAATTCGTAGGAAAACTCGACATGACTACAAAGGTTGACTCATTCATTATGGTACCTCTGGCACGCCCTATTCGACTTCTCTTAATTTACTATTACTATCTATTCGTCTTTATCATATACCTAAACGTGCGTAAGGTTATAGGGTGCTTTCTGCTAGTATACCTCATAAGAAAGATGCTGAGGTATGGGTAAATCCCTTAGACTTAGCGTGGGAACGAGCTCGGATAGTCTCGCTTACCGGATGGGCTACCGATTATACAATTTCTGCATTAAGGATGACAAGATAGCTAATGGTTAGCTAAACAGAAGGCTAATAATCAACCACAATAGAACTGGACTCATGCCCTTCTGAGAGCCATTCTGGTGGAATTTCTGATTAATTTTTTCAGGTGGCTGTAATTTTCTTCTCGTTTTTCGGACCAACACTGATTCTTGGCGCAATAGCATTAGCCGCCTATTTCGCTTGCATACGATCTGGTAGTCAATTTGGTGTTAAAGCCAAAAATCACAGAGAACAAGTTTTTGTCGATTTTTTAGAGCTATTTCATCGAAACAATTCAGCTACTTAAGGTATGAGTCATTCCGGGAGGAGGTGCATGAGACTCATCGTTCATTTCATCCATGGCCACCCGGTTCAGCTAAATGGCAGTTACAGCAATATGGTGAGTATCCACACAACTGCAGACTTCATCTATCAGAGTTCTTGTTGGCAGCTTACTTCGAATATAATTTAGTCAGAGGAAGCGGGCCATCACCGGTTAAACAGCTGAAAGCTACTCCTCCACCAATGATCCAGAAGTTCGCACCGAGTCCCATCCCACCAGGACATCTCATCTCACCTGCCCCTTCGCGGTATAGTAAAGGCAGTGTTTTTCTTTGCTCAAACTGTGAAGTTTTTCGTGTTCAACGTTTCCCAATTAGTGTTTTTACAAGCAAAAGTGACTGTAGTGGATTCAGCCCAGACTAGCTAAACTAAAGCAGTAAATTTAGACGGGTAGACTATCTCAACGGCTGTTAGGAAGGCTACAAGGTCGAAGAGCTATGGTGACACAGTGGCACCTCTGAGACGGGTGTGGTAGTTCAACCGCCTAAGCGCAAGACTCATCTAACCCAACTTTATACTACCGAATTACAATACAATTTGACAGCTATGGCCAAGTCAATTTGTTTTCTCGGGAACAGATCTCTCTCTGGATGGCAAATTCCAGCACTTGCCCAGCCAAATCTCGGCCCCCCTCCATTAAGGGAGTTAAAGATCGCGGTTTCCTTTTTAAAGCTAAACTTGCAACATCAAAGTTAGCCGGACGTTACGTTAGCGGCTTTGTTTCCCCAAAACTTCAGACCTTGCCAAAGTCCTTCTCAAGTAGCGTCTTGCCGACTAACTACGATTCCGAGTTTTAACCCTGGGTCTTTTGCTAGAGCCGGCACATACGGCGGCGAGCAGAAGAGTTGCACAGCTGGAGAATTCGTGAAAAGTACTGTAAAGGCATCGACAACAAAAACTAGATTTTGGAATTGGAAAGGTTAGATCCACGGTGAGAATGAATTATCCTGCTACTGAGCCTTGTCCCGCGCCCCCCCCCACTAGTCTGTGCGCTCCACTCAACATGGTGGGCTTGGCAGCGAAGCTGGGAGGAAGCAACAAGTCAGATTTACGCGACACCCGCGAGCCACTTTCACCATTGGATGTGTAAGTCCGACTAAGCCCTGAGGCCCCCCCGATAATCAGACTTTCGCGCCCGAATGGCACATAGCTGGTTCCAGCGCGTTGCACCAAGAATCGAGCTATGTGCCAGCGGATCGAATGCCATACCAGCGACTCAACCCTCAAAATAAAAATGAAACATGCTTACTTATAGCGAGTGAGCATCTAACGCTTGTCTTTATTCCCTATTCTCTATAACTGCATTCATATTGCTCGAAATTTCTAAAGTTCAGCAGTTTGATGACTTCTGCCCTCTTGGGATTAGATTAGGAATAAAATGTACTATTCGCCAAACCTGCTCTAGCTGAACTGGTTTTATCGACACAGTGTCCCCGTCCCATCACACAGAACATTTGTAAATGAAGCTTTGGAGTTTGTATGAACCAAAGCTGAAGTGTACAGCTCGCTCCCCTACTTTCCTTGTGCTGACCATAAAGGTCCTAGTCAATGACTATTATAAAAATAGAGCTGATACCGAAAGTGTCATTGCATCGCTTGAGAAGCGTTTCAAGTGCCAATCGATGGCGAAACTAATCGAAGGTTTTCTGTTTGCCCAGCGCCTTTTGTTGGTTTTCTACACGTGATTCGCCCTTAGGGACACTTTGACTGCTCACGGGTTCCTCTCTTTGGCTTGAATTTTTGCTTGGAGTAAGCTTTACTAAGTTCTTGCAAATCTTATCTTAACTACTCATATCCAGTTCATAAAATAGCTAATGTTACCTTATATGTCGTGATTTTTTAATCATCATCGTCATTTTTCATCATCAATCATATTTCTTGTCAATCTCTTATCATGTGAAATGAATGGCAGTCAAGTGGATATATTCTTGTGTCGCTTTTCCTCAAAATTATTATTAAAGGAATCTTCCGCGGAAAAAGCTCCGCCTCCATTACCACAGAAAAACGATACCCCTTAGGCCCCTAGCCTCATGAGCATAGCAAAAAGAACGGAACATAAGTTAGTTTCGATAATACTAATCCTACACACAAGACAAAATGATCACTCTTTCCGTGGAAGATTCCTTTAAGGTATCGTTTTCTGTGGTAATGAGGGCGGAGCTTTTTCCGTGGAAGATTCCTTTAATAATCGATCTGAATGTATGAAGGGAATTACCCAAAGAAATATCAAGTTTGAATGGCGGCTGAATTGATCTTCGATAAATTTGACTTGTTAGTGATGTGTTCTTATTGAGCGGCAACTTGAGAATGTGCTTCTATTGCTCAGTATAGTTTATTTGGTATCCTAGCATATCACTGAAAGGGACCATATAGCGCGTGTGGCGTAGCATCAAGAAGTGCTGTTTTTAGCTCAAAGACGGCTGACAAGTACAACACTGACTACTGTAGTGGGTAGCGCAACATTCAAAAACTAGTGGTGCGGGTTCAATTCTAACCTGGGCGAAGTGTTCTACCCATTATCCAGCGTTTTGTCGAACGCGTAACTGTAGATATTACGTTCAACAGTGCGAAAGGGAGGATACTAGTTGGAAGGTAAGCCTTGTGCTGGGTAAAAGGTGAGCCGTTGGCGTTGATCAATCCCTTTTTGGGATGCGGCCACGCATTCTACTTCCATTTCACATTCGTAGTGGCATTTGAATGCGATGTGGCCTATACAATGACTTGCGGGGGCCAGCCGATGTACAAGTCAGTGTTTTTATCCTCCCAGACAAGTCTGGTACCAATTAACCGACCCCGGAATGGAAGGCTTGGTTGACGTGGACGACGTAAGCTGCAGAACTTGATTCCCGGACCGCTCCATGGTGAGCAGAACCACTTGCTCAGAAATTGTTGGGTCGCCGATAAGAAATGAGATAAGAAAGAACTCCTCATTATGACCTGCCTAATCCAAACTTACATTTGGTTAGTTTCTGTATCAACTCCGTAAATGGCACCCACAGCCAATCGCTGTTGGTGCCGCCTAGACAACTTAGTGCAGGAACTAACCAAAAATGATCACATTCAGCAAAAAATCGCTAGTCGTAGGTCGATGATGACCATGCACGGTCAATCCAGAGCCACAATGGTGTAAACAACCTTTGGAAAAATATACACACGGGTCTGCTTCAATATCCCACATCTATCATCTAAAACCCATACCTGTTTCCGAATGATGCAAATCGGCCATTCTTGTGATTCCTTGTTATAAGCTAAATTTGCGAAAACAAATCGATAACACAATTGCTTTGAGAAATGAGGTG